CACACACACACACACACTGGTGCCTGCTTTTGAAAGGTCACTCTGGTTGCTGAGTGTACAAAATACACTCCATGGGGAAAGACCCGAAAGGAGGAAGCCAGTTTGGGGGCTGTGGACTACCTGGGTGGACACTGAGGCAATAGTGGGAACACGTGTTTGGCCACACGCTTCTGGTGCCAGCTACTTGGATTTGAGTCTTGGTTCCTTCATAATAGGCTTTGAGCAAGTCACTGAACTTTCCTCTGCCTCGACTTTATCATCTGTAAGAGGGGATCATACTGGCACTCAACTCTTGGTTTGTAGGGAAGACTCAGTAAGCTAATGCAGGCAAAATGGGGCCACCATGGTGTGTTGTTATTCCTATTGTTCTGTTAATAGCAGCAGCAACACTTGCCACTATCAATAAAACAACAGATTTAGGCTGTGTTTGCAAGCTGAATTGACATGATTTATGGATACATTGAGTCTTGAGGGGGATGGGAAGGAGAAAAGACTTCTAGGTTTTTACCAACTGACTAACTAGTGGTGTTGAATAAGAGCAAGCCACAGGAGGAGCTGGTTTTGTGGTGTGATGGGATGAGGGTTAGCAAGAGTTCAGCTGAATGGGGGAAAGTCTGAGGTACGCGTAACACACCTGAGGTGTCTGGAAGGGGGATAAATGGATGGGCCTGAAGTCCAAGGCAGATCTAGTCTAGAGGCCCAGAGACACACCTCTGGAAGAGCGGGCAGACGGGAAAGCCCAGGGTAGGGGTGGGCTAGGAGAAGAAGCCAGTTTGGATCCCAAGATGACCAGCCTGGGAGGTGAAACCCAGTAGGGGCCCACATGGGCTCCACAATGAGCACGGAATGTGAAGCAGATGGTTGAACTCAGCATCATAGACGGTATTTGTCGTGAGTGAGTGGAGTTTTACATTGTCAGCTGGTGCTTAGAAACCACTCGGTTAGACAGGTCTGCTTCTGCACACTTCTTGATGCCAAGAATTAATAAGAGGGCCGGGCGGTGGTGGCGCACGCCTTTAATCCCAGCACTCGGGAGGCAGAGCTAGGTAGATTTCTGTGAGTTTGAGGCCAGCCTGGTCTACAGACAGAGTTCCAGGAAAGGCACAAAGCTACACAGAGAAACTCTGTCTCAAAAAACCAAAAAAAAAAAAAAAAAAAAAGAATTAATGAGAGGAGACGGGGTATCCCTGAGGACAGCAGGACAAACAGCCTTCCCAGAGCTGCTTTGGAACAGGATAGCAAAGTTTCTAGGGCAAGCTTGCTGCAAGCCGAAATAAACCCCACCTGCTTTACTGCTCAGAAGAAAAGCCTCCTGCCTCCTTTTCAAAATAAAATACGAGAAATCACCACCAAAGGCCGACTGAACCAAGGCAGAAAATGTCTAAAACCGAGTGAAGAGTTCCCAGTGACGTCATAGTTTGGCACAGCTCTGGGTCCTGGAGCGTCTAGACGCTCGCTCCTGTGACCTCCCCACACAGGCCATGTGCATTTTCATTGACAAAGAACTTAAGTTACTGTAATAAGTGATGGGCTTCATTGTGACATTTAAACATTTTAATTAAAACATACTTGCATCACTCTTCTCCTTCCCTTTCCTCTCTCCAGCCCCTCCCACGTTCCCTTCTTCCAGCCCCTCTCATGTCCTAGTCCTCCAACCCCTCCCGAGTCGCCCCTCGCTCCCTCTCAAGTCGATGGCCTCTTTTTCTTTGATTGTTGTCATATAGATGCAGAAGTATATAAATACAGTCTGCTGAGCCCCTTAACGTTGCTTGGTGTGTATGATTTCGGGGCTGACCGCTTGATGCTGGATGACCAACTAGGTTTTATGAAGTCCCACCTTTCAACTGTTGGCCTTAATTCTTGAGCAAATCATATCCCTATTCAGAAAGTCCTTTCCTACACCTCTGTCATGTAGGTTACTGCTTATGTTTTCTTCTAGAATCTCCAGTTACAAATTGAGGTCTTTGGTCTACTTGGAGTTGATTTTTGCGCAGTGTGGTAGATATGGGTCTAATTTCCTCCTTCTGCAAGTGGACATCCTTTTCCCAGGACCATTTGTCACAGATGCTGTCTTTACTGCAGTGTGTGTTTCTCCATCTTTGCCAAATCTCAGAGAGCTGCAGTTATGTGTACTTCATCTGGATTTCTGTTTTCTTCCATTGGTATACACGCCTGTTTGGGTGTCAGTACCATGCTATTTTATTACTGTAGATTTGTAAGATACCTTAAAGTCTAGGATGGTAATTCCTTCAGTATTATTCTTTTTTGGTAAGGATTGTTTTTTTTAAATATCTGGGGTATTTTCTAGTTTCATATAAATTTTAAGGGCTTTTATTTCTATTTCTGTGAAGAATGTCATGAAGATTTTTGATTGAGATTGCATTGAATCTGTAAATTGCTTTTGGTAGGATGGTTATTTTCACAATATTAAGTCTACCAATTCATGCGTGTAGTAGGTCTTTCTATGTTCTAATGTCTTCTTCAATCTCTTTCGGAAATTTGGAATTTTCATTGTAGAGATCTTTTGTTACTTTGGTTAGGTGTATTCCAATATATTTATTTGTCTTTAACAAATTGTCTTTCAGTCTGCAAATGGAAGCGTGTCTATGATCTCACTCAGCTATTGTTGGTGTGTAGAAAAGCTATTGATTTTTTTGCTACTATTTTTCTTAGGGTCACTGTATGTAGCCCTGGTTGTCCTGGAACTCACTACGTAGATCAGGCTGGACTCAAACTCAAGGAGTTTTCCTCCTACTGTTTTTTGAGTGCTGGGATTAAAGACATGCACCATCATGCCTGGTTAGCTACTGATTTTTATAAGTTGATTTTTGTTCTGCCACTCTGCTGAAATTAATAGTTGTTTCTAGAAATTTTCTGCTGGAATTTTTTTTTACAACCTCTTATGTATATTATCATATCCTCTACAAATATGGGTGATTTGACTTCTCTTCCCATTTGTATCCCTTTAAATTTCCTTCTCTCACCTTATTGGCCCAGCTAGTACTTTGTGCACTACATTGAGAAGGAGTGAGGATAGTGGACAGCTCTATCTCATTCCCATTCTAATAGCATTGCTGTGAGTTTTTTCTCCACATATCAATGATGTTGGCTCTGGGCTTGTCATATACAGCCTTTATTGTGTTGAGGTATGTTCCCACAAGCCCTACTCTCTCCAGGACTTTTAACATGAAAGCATGTTGGATTTTTGTCAAAGGCTTTTTCTGCGATGTGATGATCATGTGATTTTTATAGATAACACTACACTTTGCTCTTATTAATCTCCAGTCCTCTGTCTTGATGGACCCTTCCTCCCTGCAAACAGTCATCGAGTGCCTTCAAATTCCCTCCTCCCAGTTATGCCCCTTTCTCCCTCTCCACCTGCCCTTAAGATCTCATCCTCCCTTCATGGAAGGGGCCCTTTATGATCCCCTGTGTGCCTACATGCACACATTGCACATATGAGCACACAATGTATGATATATGTGTGTGCATGTGTGCATCTGTGCATATGCACAAGTGTGAGTGGAACTAGGTGTGTGTGTGTGTGTGTGTGTGTGTGTGTGTGTGTGTGTGTGTGTGATATTAAAGGACAATCTCGGGTATTGACCCTCATCTTCCACGTTGTTTGAGATAGGGTTTTTGCCTTTTCGTAGTCCAGGCTAGCTGGCCCAAGAGCTTTGGATGACTCTCCCGTCTCTGCCTTCTACTTTTCTGTAGGAGTGTTGGGATTACAGCGCTGTGTTTTCATCTGGTAATTTAAAGTCTTCATTAAAGCTTTTTGAATGCATTTTCACACACAGATCTAATTTCATTCTTTGAGTGTGGATGGTCAGGTTCCCCAGCACCATATGTTGAAGAGGCTGTTCCCCCCCCTCCTATATTTTGGCAGTCAAAAGCCAGGTGGCTGTATCTGTGTGGGTGGATTTCTGGACTCTATTCCAATGGTGTGAGTGTTGGTTTCTGTGGGTTTTGTGCTCACACCAGTTCCAGGGCACTGTCCATCATGGCAGGGGAGTTATGGCGCGCGCGCGCGCGCGCGCACACACACACACACACACACACACACACACACACACACACACACCTAGTTCTTCTCACACTTGTGCATGTGCACAAATGCACACACATCAAATCCACAGTCAAGCAGAGGCAGATGAGTGCCTGTGTTCACCTTGCTTCCTCCTTTTCATTCAGAGGCTCCAGCCCCCGAGCTGCCCACAGTGGGTGGGCGGGTGTCATGTCGTCCCCCCCCCCAATTGATCTAATCTAATCAAAGGATCCTTCACAGGCATGTTCTGAGGCTGGACAAATCTAGGCAATCTCTCACAGGTGTGCCAGAAGCATGTCTCCTAGGTGATTGTAGATCCTGTCAAATTAAAACATGGACCATTACAACCTCATATTGGGGATTAAAATTTTCCTCCCTCCCTCCCTTCCTCCCTTTCTTCCTTCCTCTCTTCTTCCCTCCCTCCCTTCCTCCCTTCCTCCCTTCCTCCGTTCCTCCTCCCTCCCTCTCTCTGTTCCTTCTCTCATTCCTTCTTCTTTTCTTCCTTCTCTCCTCCCCTCTTTTCTTCCCTCTTTCCTGCCTCCTCCCTTATTATTTCTGATGAGACAGGGCCTTACTTCCAGAACTTTCTATGTAGTCCAGACTGGCCTCTTAACTGACTGCCACGTTGTCTTAATCTCCCAAGTGTTTCATCCCCAGCCCCTCAGGGCTTGAATTTCAACTTGAGCTTTTTGAAGACTTTGAAAACCCAACGATGGCCACTCGCAGACTTCTTGCATCCCTCGAACTGTTCCTCACTCAGGATTTCTCCTCCTCCTGGGGCTGTGAAAAATCTTGCAACCATTTGTTCCAACCCCGTGCATCTATGTGAGGGGAATGTAGACAGCCCTTGAGGCTGAGGGACAGAGCGACACAAGCGATTACACATGAACCGACTTTCTGGACTCCATTTTACAGCCTTGCGATAAAGCAATTCTTTCTTTCCACTTTCCAGAGTCAGCGGAAGCGGGGCGAACACCTTGGCTCAGGGCTTTGGAGAAATGGAATTCGTTAAGGAGCAGGGAAAGGGGAGCGCAAGTCGTTGGCCCTGTCCTGTCCAGGGAGCACACACACACGCGGGCAGGAGGCAGCTCCTTCGCGTCCACAGAGCCGCCTTTCTTCTCCAGGAAAAGTGACTCTTTCACAGCCCTTGGAGGGAAGGAAATGGAAAGTCCCGCAGCATCAGGAGCCCCTCTCCCCTCAAGAGGGCTTTCTGCTTCTCCAGGTCAGGGGCGGAGCTTGCCATTGCAGGGAGGCTACTGCAGAGGGTCCCCCCATGTCTGTGCAGCCTGGTGCAGGGCGCGGGCCGGGCTTAGCAGGAGCTTTTCTGAGAAGCAGCTGAGCTCAGACTCTGTCGGCTCCACATTCCTGCATGATGAGGGAGGGATTCCAGTGTTTACTTTGAACAATGTTTTCCTGTGTCTGAACCGAACCCACGACGTGTTAAATTCTTCCAGATTTCTGGCTCCATACTGCAGCTCCAGCGGGACAGGAACAGGTTTACGGCCGTTGGCCGAGGCTCGAACGCAGGGTTGGTCTGGACACCTTCTGCGCCTAGAATTTCCACTCGGTGGATGGAAAAGCGGATCAGCGCCTGGGAGGGACGTGTGGTCTGGATGTAGCAGCACGCTTGGTTAGGCTAGTGCCTTTCGCATTTCCCACCCTAGAGGGCAAAAGTTAGCTTTTCTGCTTTGAGTGGCATCCGGGAATGAGAAGTAGAGAGTTTTGAAGCGTTTTCCTGGGTAGGGTAAATCCGGAAGGAATGCGTTTGGTGGGATGTGAATGACCTACAGTACATTCCAGTTCCTGGGCCCGCTGCTAGGTGAGGAGGGACAGGAACACAGGGGTTAGGGATGGAGGACAGACAGGTGCAGGGAAGTCCAGTTCTTCCTTCTGGAAGCACAGAGAGGCAAAATGACACGGGGTAGAGAGCTGGACTGGAAGGGTGGGTCCCCCACCACAGCTGAGTAAGAGCACTGGGGAGGGGGAGCGGCGAGGCCCAGGGCGTTCTGTGCAGTAACAACGTCTTTGCTCTTGTGTCTGGGATGATGAGCGATTCAGGGACGTTCTCATGGGGCCCCGTGAAGATCTGGGATCTGTTGTGGAGCCCCACACTCCAGGCAGGGGGATAGCTGTCAGCCCCAACAGCCTCAGTCCAATCAGGGCATGTGTCAGGCAGATCTTTTAAGCCCGCCCTGTTCTAGAACTTGTGCTCTCAGATGATGGAAATTTACTCCTAAGTCCCCTCATAATAACGTGTGTGTCTATGTGTACATGTGTGTTCAGGTACAAGGAGCAGAGGAAGATGGACTCTGGTCCTGAAGGCCTAGGTAGAACCCAGATAGTATTTATGTAGCAATATTGAGAAAATAGTCCTGTGGTAAGACCTAGTGTTTTGATCTTGACATTTTCGCAAGACCTTTTGGATACCATGTACGTTTACATGATCTTCAGAAAGAAAAAAAAATCACAAAATTTCTACTTTTTGCATGCATCAAGGCAAGTGTGAGGCAAGCACCTTAACCATCCAGAGCTTTCCTCTTACACCTGGCTCCATCCCTACTCGAGCCTGGTCCCTTGGGTAGCATCAGTGCACCTACTGTGTCCACACGGCCATGTCGAAAATCAGCTTTGCTAGAAGGAAGCACAGCTTCCTTCCTGGAGGCTTCAGCTCCTTACAGACATATTAGCTACTCTTCTCGTTGCTGTCAGAAACTACCCCCAGAAAAGCATCCTAAGAAGAGGGTTTATTTGGGCCCTCGGGATGAGGGCCCAGTCCATCATGGCAGGGAGGCATGTCGTGAAGTGAGGTGGCTGGTTTCATTGTGTCTCCATTCCGAAAACAGAGACGTGAATGTTGGTGTCCGGTGATTTCTCCTTTCAGCCTCTTTTGTTCAGTGGTGACCCAGCTTACCGGATGGTGTCACTCATATTCAAGGTGATCTTTTTTGTTCCTCAGTTAAATTTCTCTGGGGATGGTCTCACATATGTGTACAGAGGTGTATCTCCTAGGTGATTTTTAAACCCAGTAAAATTAACAGTGAAGACCGAAACGATCACTCTGACAAGTTCACTTCTTTTGGTAGGAAATTCCATTGTCCCCTAGAGATGGGAGTGGATGAAGGAGGAGCTATCCAATCAGCTCTCTCCAGATGCTGCCAGAGTAGGAAGCCTTTCTCTGTCTCAAGGATGCTTTTCTTAGACCACCTGGTAAAGGCCTTGTACTGGCTATTTCTCCCTGTGGAACAAGTTACCCTAAATTTAGTTACTTAGTATTTTGTGTTTCTCATTCTATACTTGCAGGGATTTATTTGCAAGATCTGGGAGAAGTCAGGGCAATGAAAGGTTTGGTAGGATTGTTCTACAAATAAAGACGTACATTTGGCATTTGGACTTATACTTGTTTGATGAGTTATAGAGCCAAATAACTGTTGATGCCACGTTGAGGGCGTGTGGAGGTGAAACGGAGAAAGACTGCAGAAAGAACCAATGGAGACTGAGGGGGAGGGTACCAAGAGATTGGGGAAGAGATTGGGTCTGCGTGCTGTCATGAAAGCTAAGTGGGAAAATGTTCCCAAAGTATAAGAATGCTCAGCTCAGCCGGGCGGTGGTGGCGCACACCTTTAATCCCAGCACTTGGGAGGCAGAGCCAGGTGGATCTCCGTGAGTTCTTGGCCAGCCTGGTCTACAGAGCGAGATCACCAAAGCTACAGAGAGAAACTCTGTCTCGAAATGGGAGTTAAGAGGGCAGAGGCCTGCGGCATAAGTGGAAAGTCACTCTTCGGTAACAGCAGGGCCACTTCCCCCACCTAGTGAAGGAAGGCAGAGTGGGCAGGCGGGAGCACCTGGTGGCAAGTTGGTAGGAAATTTAGAGGGAGATGAGAGCATTCTTGGATCATGGACTCTTGGATCTTTCTGGAACTAGAAAGGACAGTAGCTGAGGGTGAGAAGGGGAAGCAGGCAGCAGGAGTTGGAAACCATTTCTTGGGAGATGAGAAAGTGGAAAGAGCCCTGGGGTGGGCTAGCAACGGGACGCGCTTCCGAGACTGAGGCAATAAGAAATAAAAGCTTTGGCAGCTCGACAGCCTGAGTGTCAGTCCTAATTCCTGTCACTTAGTAGCTGTGTGCCCTTGGACAGGCAGGCTACTCCATAGACTCCACAGGCTCTAGTTTCTTTGTCCGTGAAATGGGGATAAAACGGAACTTTGTCAGAATTAATTAGTTAACATAAGATGTTTAGAGGGTGCTTGATATGTGGTATGGCGTAGAAACATCAGTTATTCACATGCCATGGGAGACCTGAGCACGCAGCCAGATTAATCTTCCAGCAAGTCTAGTGGCTGAGGAGAGACCAGTTTTTGTTCAGTTGGTGCTGGGACTTAGTCATGCAAACGTGATAGACAGAAAGGGCAAGGCGGTGTGTTAGTTCCTTTCTTATCCATGGAAAGGCGACGTGACCAGGGTTTGCTTGGGCTTCTGGCTCAAAGAGATGCCCTCCACTGTGGCGAGAGAAGGCCTGGCGGCAGGAGTGTGAGACAGCTTGTCTCATTGCACCTACAGCCAGCAAGCAGAGAGAGATGGATTCTGGCAACAGCCTGCTTTCTGCTCTTCCGCTTAGCTCACAGCATGGTGCCTGAGGATCTCAGCTCACAGCACGGTGCCTCCCACATTCAGAATGGCTTTCCCCTCCTCAGCTCCTCCTTTCTGGAACCACCCTCAGACAGACTCAGAGGTATGCTTCCATATTGACTCAATCCAATCGAATTGACAACGCAGATTAACCATCACAGGTGGGTTGCTAAGAACAATCGTTTGGGACCATTGGAGTTTAAACAGGATTTAGCAGGAAGTGAGGACACTGTGGGGATGGATAGATAGGCAGACCGACATGGAGTGTCAGAGGTGAGGAGTTCCAGGGATGTGGAGGCTAGACGTTGGCATGGAGCTCTGCCATGAAGCTCTACTCACAGTGACACCCGTGGGCCAGGGGCTAACACTGTCAGTGACTGAGGAGCAGGGGCCAGGTCTCAGAAGCTGCCGATACCTGGTGCAGGGAAGGCTGCCGTAGTCTGGTGGCCTGGCCTTCAGAGGAGGGTCAAGGAAGGGAAATGACTTGGCAACCACAGGGGAAGAGATCAAGGACCTGCTTTCCGGCAAAAACCGGTGGACTTGGGGTGCAGCTGGGGCAGGGGACATCCTGGGCTTTCTTTCAGGGCCTCAGGGGACTCTCTGTTATAGGGCTAGGAGACAGGGTGCATTCTTTGCCTTTTTCCAATAAAACAGTCCTGGCAGAACTTCTATAAATTGGTGTGTGTGTGTGTGTGTGTGTGTGTGTGTGTGTGTGTGTGTGTGATATGTGTGTGTGTGATGTGTGTGTATGTGTGTGTGTGTGTGTATGGTGGTGATGGGGAGTGTCCCTAATTTCAGCCCCAGCCTCAACCTCACAGCCTCACTTTTCCAGATCTTGAATGATCAGGTTATTCATGGCTTCAGGTGAATCCCAAGCCTTTTGATCTCTGATGATCATTCACTATCATGTGGTAAGTGCTATGTATAATGAGGTCATTTCTCCTGCTGCCAGTGACAGGCAGAGTGTGAAGTATGTGTGTGTGCATGCGTGTACATGTCTGTGTGCACATACATGTGCATTTGTGTGTAAATGCGCCCATGTGTATACATGCTTATGTATATTCATGGACATAAGTCTGTACCTATTTGTGCACCTGTATTTGTTCAAATACATATTTTCACCCATACGTAGATACATGTGCACATGTACATGTGTAGTGTGTGTGTGCAGGGCACACTTAATGACTATAGAAGACAAAATGGGGATTGTCTTAGGGATTCTATTGTTGAGCTAAAAACACCATGACCAAAAGCAACTTGGGGAGGAAAGGGTTTATTTCATCTTACAGATTGTAGTCTATCATCGAGGAAGTCAGATCAGGAACCTGGAGGCAGGAACTGAACAGAGGCCACGGAAGGATGCTGCTTACTGGCTTGCTCCCCATGGCTTGCTTGCTCAGCCTGCTTTCTTATACAACCCAGGACCATCTGCCCCGGGGTTGGCACCACCCACAGTGGATTGGTCCCTCCCACATCAATCATTAATCAAGAAAATGCCTCACAGGCAAACTTGCGTATAGGTCAGTCTTCTGAAGGCATTGTTTCAAACCAAGGTTTCCTCTTCCCAAATGATCAGCTTGTGTCAAGCTGACGTAAAATTAACCGACATGGGGATACTGATGCAGTATTAAAGAGTTTGGTATTCCAAAGCTAGGAGTCTTGCCTTTTATATTTTAGGCAGTGCATGATGAGTTTTAAATAGGAGGGTGATATGATCAGATCTTGCACATTTTCTTCCCCTGTTTACAGTGTCGCACCTGTTTAGTGCCTGGCTCGCAATGAGCCATCGGCACATATTTGTTGAAGGAATGAATGTATTTATAAATGTTTTGACCTGAAGCTTTCAACTGGAGACTAGACCAGAAGAGAATAAAGTAGGAAGACACGTCAGGGGAGCAGATCCTGAACTTGAGGTGCAAGAGGGATGGAGGGGTCTAGTTTCCGTTTCCACTTGGGTGAGCAGGAAGGATGGCTGTGAACAGAAACTGGCATGGAGACAGAGGAGATCTTTCCAGAAGTATTGTGACAACAGATGTGGACCTGGGTTCCGGACAGGTTCAGTCTGATGAGATGCAGCAACACAGGGAGGAGCTTGTTAGTGAGCAGGAGGAGATGGGAATCCACTCTTAGAAAAGAGACGGGTCGGAGGAATGTACTTTGGTAATTTTCAAGGTGTTAGTGGTACTGAAGACACAGAATGAGAAGGCTTTGGCAAAGTGGCTAATTCTGACCAAGCTCATTTCAAAAAAAATTTTTGATTGATAATTCAGTATCCCAATATCATAATGTGCATATACCTATGGGTTACTAAATGTCATTTTCTAGAAGATTGCCTAGTGAACAATAGCAGAAGAGATTATTTTCATCAGTGTGACCAGACAATGGTTTATCCTTTGTGTGTGTGTTCTTGTGCACAGGCATGTGCACATGTGTGGCTGTGTATCTACACACTTGGGCACGTGTGTGGAGGCCAGAGGTCAGTCTCAGATACCGTCAATAAGTTGTTTTGAAACAGCGTTTTTCGCTGACCTGGAACAAGCAGGCCAGGCTGCTGTCCAGTGAGTCTCCCTTTCCTTCCCCGAACTGCCTCTATACTCAGCTTTTTTACATGGTTCCTAGGGATCAAAGTCTCCTTGTGTTTGCAAGGCGATCTTAACCTACTGAGCCTTCTCCCCTGTCCACGATGCACCCTTTTTATTCCCTTCCTTCTCTGTGGTCAAATACTGATGTTCTCGCATCTATGGTATCCTCTCCTGATGGAGAGCTGGATAAACGTCACAAATCTTCCTGTACTTCTTTGCTCTCTCCCTAGGAAATATGGGACAGAATTTGGCGATCTGCTCTTCGAGAGCATCTTTATGAGCTATAATGGGCAATATATAGAAGTTTGTACTTGTTCATGTGCATACACCTGTGATAGCCTCACTGTAGGGCTCCACGTGGCTCCTGCAGCTTGAGCTGTCTGTCATAGGTTCTCACTGGTCCTGTTGCTTTTCTTCCTGTTTACCTCATGAACCATCCCCTCCGTCTGCAGCCTCCCTGTCCACGGGAGACACAGCTACATGAGCTGTCTCTTGGGGTACTTTTGTTTATTAATTGATTTTGCTTTGTTTATTTCTTGGTACCAGGCATTGAATGTAGGTTTCTGTGTATGTTTGGCAGAGCATATAACCTCCATGAGCTATAACCCCTGAACTATAACCTCCATGAAGTTCCTATTTTCAAATACTTTTTGTTGTTGCTGTTGTTTTTGTTTTTCAAGATAGGGTTTCTCTGTATAGCTTTGGTGCCTTTCCTGGAACTCACTCTGTAGCCTAGGCTGGCCTCGAACTCACAGAGATCCGCCTGGCTCTGCCTTCCGAGTGTTGGGATTAAAGGTGTGCGCCTCCACTGCCCAGCTGTTTTTTTTTTTTTTTTTATTTTGGTTTTTCGAGACAGGGTTTCTCTGTGTCACTTTACCAAATACTTTTTATTTAGAGTCAATGCCTTCCTCAGTTACTAGGCTGGCCTTGAAGTTGTAACCCTGCCTTAGCTTCCTGAGGAGCTGGGATTATTGGCCGGAGTCACCAGGTAAAGGGGATCTTCCCAGCTCTTTCTTTGACATGTCTGTGCCAGGAATGACAGCTGGGGGCTTCTGCGGACAGCCCTCCAGCATGACGATCCTTCCTGGAGGCCTCTGCCTCGCTTCGGTGGTGGTCCCAGAATCCGTCGTGTCTCCTATTCTTACTCTTGTTACGGGCTGTCCTGTAATGAGGAAGAGACCTGGAGCTACGATCCAGAACCCTCGATCCACCAGGCAGACATCTCACCTGGTTTCTTTTGTTTGTGAATATGAGGGAGGAGGAGGAGGAGGAGGAGGAGGAGGAGAAGGAGGAGGAGGAGGAGGAGGAGGACAGAGCTCACCTCAGAGTGGAGGGGAAGCGACTCTGGGCATGTGGAAATCTTTGCTGAGGAGAAACCTTGGGCAGGCAGCATTAGCTGTGCAGAGCTTCATAAAACCCAGAAAGCTATTTGAGTTCTGTGTTTTAAAAGACACTGCGTATCACTTCTAGGGGCTAAAACTGGAAACATCTTAACATCCCCAAACAGAGGCATCATGGATAATGATTCATTCCTTAGATGGATTGTTGAGTAGCCTCTGAAATAATTATGAGGGATCTTTAACATTACGAACAAGTGCAAAACAATGGCTGAGCAAAAGTGGTGGCCTGAAAAGGATATATGTAAGGATGGGTGGGACGAGAGTTGCATGATAACATTAGGATTGTGAGATTTTAAAAAAATATCATTCAAATTTAATATAATGTTGATATATAATGTCTGTTATAAGAACCCATACAAATGCTTTTGACAAAGCATATACTTAAATTTGGGAAACATACAAAGAGATATAGCCTTTTTCCCCATGGCACGCGTCTCAAATTGCTTTCCTAAGGGGCTGGCAATTTGTTCTACTTCCTGTTCACAGTTTTCTAGTGACCACAGTGGCAGGCCACAGATGCAAAGCAATACAGTACTTTACTCACAAGGTAGAGTTTACACACAGCTTTGAACCCCACGTACTTCACTCCATTTCCCGGTTTGCACAATGCTCAGGTTCCTGATCTGAGCTTGCCTGCCTTGCCAAGTGCTCCATCATCCTTTGGTTTAATTTCTATTCTGTAAGTCGTGTTAGGGTGACAGTTATTGCTGGGTGTGCATGAAGGGCATTTGTGACAATGTGCAAACCCTTCTGTTTTCAGTATGACAATTTGGACTGTTGTTCAGTTGTGGGCCATTTCACCCCCAACTACGGGGAGATTGAATCAATCATAATTTGGAGTCACCTGTGGCCAGCGAGTTGAGTGCATGTTGTAATACAGTCTTTTATCACATTCTGGCATGAACTGGGACCCAGCTGTCAATAACAATAGAATAATGGAATCTTACAGGAGTGGGTGATTACCTTAACTCTTTGCTTCCAGGAGAGTCTCAAGTGCCAGTCACTCTCTTCAAAGTCTGGGTTCCTGGCCCCCATTCCTAAGCTCTGAGCATTTGAGAGGAGATTGCCTGAGCCGCTGATTGAGATCAGCCCTGGGAAATGCTGGCTGTTTCCCCGTGTGT